TTATTTTTTTTTAAGACGTTATCGGTTCCCAGGACTGCTACGTTAAGGAAATTGCAGGGTTGATGAGCTCCATCGCAGCCTTCCTGAAAGGTGCTGCAAGACCTTGCTCTAGAAAACCCAGTTTGCTGCTTTGTGGTTATACGGGGAGGCAAGATTAAATGTTACCTGCAGCTGCTCTTTTACGCTCTCGAAGGGAGAGGTGGAATGATCTCTTGATTTTTTTTTTATTTTTTTTTTAATGATAATTTTGTGCTGATGGCTTTCTCCTAAAGGAAAAGATAGCTGCAACCTTTTGTTTCAGCTGCCTGGAATAATGCTGGGGTCTGAGCTGGAATCTGCCAGGCGTGTGTTTGCTAGCCATCAATAAATCCCAGCAGTCCTTCAGTTGAGAATAAAGCTTGGTCAGAGAATAATTGCGGTCCCCCCACGTTCGAAGCGGTCAGGAGGGGATGTGGGGTGTGTGGGGGGGTTCTGCATCCTCCCAAGGCGAGTGCTGTCTTCCCTGCTCCCCTCCTGGCACCCAGCCCCTGCCGGGGAGATTTGCAGGAAGGCAGACAGAAGTCTGGACAAACTACAGGTATCCAAGGGCTGGGTGTTGCAGGGCTGGCCCTGTCCCCAGCCACGCACGTGTCCCCACCCCGGCATGCTCCCCATCAACTGCAGCGCAGCGGGATACCTGGGGAGCATCTCCAAATTGGGGTGGCTTACCAGCAGTTTCACCATTTCTGAGAACCTACCAGAAGCAAAGAGCTTTTTCTTCCATCTTGTCAGGCCAGCCCAGCTTCTCGGTGTTTGGGCAACCGAAAAGCTGTATTGCATGTTGGTCGTTTTAGGAGGAGGTAAGAGGATCAGTGGGAGAAAAGGGCAGGGTCTGTAGCAAAATGCTTTCCCCTCCCAAGGGACTCGGCAAACCGTCCTAGGAGGAGGGGACGGCTGTGCTGGGGAAATGCAGAGCGATGGTACCTGTGGCCAAGCCCCGACCGGGCTCCTCCGTGCCGGCTTTCCCCCCCCATTTCAGATGGGCAATCACCACGGAGCGATGGAACCCAGCTGAAATTGCACTTTCACCAACTCGGTTGCAAGTACCCAGAGGCCACGGCCCTTTCCCAGATGCCTGTCTCCGTTCTGGTTGGAAAACACCAAAGTTGGGCATCTCCAGCCTTTTGGACACCCAACCTTAATGAACTTTGCGTGGCTGGATACAAGAGGCCGATGTGTGCGGGAGCTCGGCTGGAAGGGTGGCTGCGGAGCTATGGCACAGGGGAGGCAACTGTTGGGAAGGATGTTTCTCATTAATCTATTCAAGTTATTACCTTCATCAAACTGAAGTATCCTAGAAGCCTCGCCCCAGCATCTGTCACTTGCCACCCACAGATAAATATTCATCCCTTGCATTTTTTATTTTATTTTGTTTTTAGCACACCAACCAGGGCTAGAGGATGGGTCCCTAAATGCGCAGCGAGGCTGAGGAAGCGAGATGCCTCAGCATTCAGGGGTTTCGCTCCCCTTTTACCATTTCCTTGCACGATAGTGGGGAAGGGCAAACCCCGACACTCCGCCAACCCTTACCAGCGCTATCTGGGGGAGCGATATTTTCCGTGACTGATGCGCACGTGTTGATGCATTGGGTTTGGATGTAGGGTATGGCACGCGGTGGCCTGAGCCGTGTTACCACCCCTCTCCCCCCTCCACCGTCCTGGCTCTGCTCTTGCCACCCCAGGTACTGTCCCTGGGCCCCCCACCCTCCCACGCCGGGTGCTCACGCCCGCCACGCTCACACGCATGCATCCTTCCCCCACATGCAGCTTGCAGCTCTCACACCTCCCACGCGGACACACTCATCGCCATGCACACACGCCTCTCCTCCCCACGCCGAGACGTCGCTTCGCCCCTCCGCTCGCATACCCACACGCACGTGGTCTGTCCCCGGCCCAGCACCACCGCTCTCCGACCCATCCACGGGCCGGATGAACGCGAACTGTGTTTCCCGAGCCGTGCGAGTACGTGTCCATCAACGCAAACCTATTACACGGAGCCCAAATAAGCAAATAGTTCCCCTAGAAGCCCACGCTTTGCCAAATCTCGCTGACACTGCTGCACGCCTGACCCACGGTCCTGCCCCTGCGGCACACGCGTGGGCACCCTCCTGTCTTTCCCCTGCACGCACTCACTCGGACCCCCCCGAACCACGATGCTGCTGACACGTCCTTATCTTTCTGCCCAAAATCCCTGCCAACTCCAGCCCCCATCCAGAAGCACCCTGATATTACATAAACCAGGCTTCTGAGGATTGCTTCGGTCGGATGCTGGAGTTGCACCGCTCGTTTGCTGGGCTTGATTCAGCTCAGCTCCAGAGCGGGAGCAGGATTGTTCCCTTGCTTCAGCTGGGAGGGGCTGCATCCACCTGGATCAGCATTGATGTGAGCCGGAGCCGCTGCCATCGCCCTGGGTGGAGTTGGTGGAACCTCTCTGGAGCGGAGGGTTGGAGACCCTCTCCCGAGCAGGTCTGGAGATCAGGAGACATCTCAGCTGGTTCCTGTCTTTCTGTAACTCCTCCGACGCTTTGGAAACACTCAGTGATTTTTACCCTGGGAACAGTTTGAGTTGCAATTGCAGGCCGGCCATGGGAATCCTCGGGCTGTGCATTGGGTTTGGGGATGGAGGAGATGGGGTGGATGAAGGAAGCCCCACATCTGCTTTTGCCCTTTCCATCCCTGCCAAAGCCGATTTTCTCCTTCCTCCACCTCTCCCCAGCCGAGCATTTGGGATCCAACACCCAACAGGGGCTCAGGGAGGGGAACAGCCCCTCTCCTGGGTTCCCGCTGCCCGACCAGCCCTTGGGGAACGTCTCGCA